AATGTTGAACAATAGCAAAAACCATTGCCAGGGGAAGAAAATTTATGTGGAAGGAATTTCTTACAGGTTGCCGTTAGAACAAACCTCACTGTGTTTAACCCTAGATGGAAAAGTTCACTTACTTTCATGTTATTAAACTTTCTTCTAATCTGTTAAAAACTGTCACTCTGACATGAGAAATGACCTTTAGAGATCAAAAGCGGGCACATAGTTTTGGGGAAATATCTTTGTCAGTGCAGCAGCACTGCCTGCATCCTTGCATGGCTCTGGCCCCGGAAAGTTCTGCTCTGGGGAAAGCCCCTCTTTGCAGGACCCCTGTCTCCAGCCCATCTCCCTGTGGTGAGGTCGTAGCCAGCGCTCGGACAACCCCTGGCACAGAGGACACCCGTCTGAGCTTACAGGCAGAGCCCATCAACAGGGCAATCTGTGCTCTTTGGCTCTCTCTGCTGGCTGCAGTCACCCCATTCCTGGGCGGGTGCGCGGTGATGTCCCCCCACATCCCACCCTTCGGGGAGCAGGCTGGCTTGGGGAGCAGAGGTGTGGGGAAAGAAATACTGTCTGAGCCTCTGGGAAGAACCACAAACCTTGACAAGCACAAGAAGAAAAATAAAAAATATAAAATAAAAAAGCCTTGCAAATGTGACAGCCAGTTTCCAGGGGGATCCTTTTTCTTCCTTAAACCCCAGTCCCGAGGAAAAGGAGAGATTTTCCTTGAAGGCAGAAGACAGAGCTGTGTAAGGGAGCAAAGGCTCTACCTGAGGGCACAGCAGTGCCGGGCCTCTTGTTGCGCCGGGAGACATTCACCGGCTTCTGCTCTGTGCCTGCGGGAATCTCCTAACAAGGGTTGAGGGACCAGAGAGGGAGGGCCTGGGAGCATCTCCTGGCTCTCCTCCTGGGAATGCTTTTCCAGGGCTGGAGGCCAGGAGCGTTTGCTCCCTCCGCACTGAGGAGCGCAGCAGGCCGCCGGCTGCCAGAGCCAGCTGAGCGGAGGGGGAGGCAGGCAGCGAGGAGCATCGGGAGGGATGCTCTGGTGTTGGCTGCTGGACCAAGTCCCTTTCCCTCTGGTCCAGCAGCCAACCCAGGTGATGAGTAAAGTGTGAATTTCAATGCATCATTTTATGCTTCCTCAGGGAAGCTCTCCATAGGAAATAGCGGGGACCTTCATTACATTCATTTTATTAAGCAAATGAGCAGACGGGTTTCTTTGTCAGATGATGTTGGAGGTATTAATTCATGGCACAAACTGGCATTTGTACTGTAAGTATAAGAAAAAATGAACTTGGTGATTTTTTGGTGACCTTTTTTTTGTGTTCTACAAGTTGTTTATGGGGTAAGTCTCCTGACACTGGGATCCAAAAGGTCTTCTGAGATACTCACAGCATTTGACCAAACAGCTATTCTGGAAAGTGCAATTAGGTGTTAACAAAAAGTAACAAATAGTTCTGCAATAAAACAAAGACAAAGGAGAAGAAAATGCTCAGTGTGAGTGTTATTGCATTATTCTGGTGAGACGCTGTCGAAGAGTCAGAAAGTGTTCAGAGAGCAGAGAGTACAGTTTGTTCCTTTATCATAATAACTTTTATTGCCTAGGTATAGCTTTTCTCACCCTGGTCAATAAATATCCTGCTGCTTTGCTTTCAGAGAATCGGGACTCGGTTGCAGCAGCAAGTGCTTCTTTCTGAACGCCTGGTGCTGACCCATGCCGGGGCCAGGGATGCTCCTGTGCTCCCGGGAGGTGCTGGGATTGGGCAGGAGGAAAGGGGAGGAGATCCCTGTGGTGAGAGCAGAGATCTGGGAATCCGAGATGCTCCCGCTGGCTGCAGATCAGAGCGATGGTGTGATGATTGCTACGAGCCACAGAGGCAGAGTAAATGCGAAGGCAGCACAGAGCATCTTACAGGCTCTTCTGGCTGAAGGGTAGTTGTGCCCATGGGTCCAGGATCTTGGTCTTTTCTGCGGAGCCAGAAGGAGAAAGCTGGTGCCAGAGTGGGCCCAGGCTATGAAATCTGGATCCCACAAGTGTTTCCTCTGCACCACAGTTAGGATCACTACAAGCTATCTGTCACCAACAAGCCTTATGGGCCAAGGAAGACTTGCCTTTTTTACCACTTTGGAGCTCACATAAAAAATAATCCTGGCCTGCTTGCTGGTTTGAATGACTCTCCCTGGCATCATCAGTCAGAAGGTTTTCTGCTGGGCATGGCTGAGAAGCTCATCCCTGACTTCCCATTGGGAAAATGTGTATTTCCAGGCCTTATACAACCTCTTCTGGTTTTCATTAAAAACAGCTCTTCAGACAGCTGTTCCAAGCCCTCTTATGTGGTTCCTCATGGACATTACCATGCATTGCCTCGGGTGAATCACCGGGTTGAAGGTACCTGCTGGCGTGGGGATTGCTCTGGGTCTGCCCATGACACTGAGTGCAAGAGGGGAGATGAATCAGCCGCGTGTGGATCGTCACAGCCCCTAACCTCCCTCGGGCCAGTGCTGAGGCTGCTCGTCCGTGGAGCCTCGGCTCCGAGCTGCAGAGAACATCGCTTGAAAACCTCTCACAAGAAATGCTCTCCCGTTCGGCAGCTCTGGCCCGTGGGAGCTGACTGTACCTGTGTGCTCAGCCCAGGCTCAGCCTTGCCCGGCAAGTCTTCTCAGCGTGGAACGCTGTTTTGTGGCTGTATGGCCAGGGATTAAATACAGTCACTTCACCTCTTTACCCCACAATTCCCACCTATCAAAGAGAAACAATATATCTTTCTTTGTCTTTCTAGTCTGTTTAGCTCAGCAGGGCAAGACCGTCTCCTGCATGGTGTTTGTATGGCACCCAGCACCTGGGTCTGCTGGCGCTGCCGCAGTGCAATTACATGTGGTGATCCTGTATTTAATGCCCTGGGAGCCGTCTCCCCAAACTCCAGGAGCTCCTGAGTTGACGGAAGGAACAGGTTTGTCTTTCTGCCTCTGAACTGAGGACATTCACACATACCTCCACCAGTATATCTTCATTAAGCTTTGCAGAAGCTGCCGTGACGTGATACCAGCTGTATGGCTGAAACAGCCTGGCGTAGCGTGTGAATCACTCTGTCTTTAATTCCTGCGTGTCCGTGAGGATCATCCGTATCCCTGTTTGTGATGGGTTTCACTCCAGCAAATGGCAGGATTAAACTCCCTTCAGAAGTGCTGGCTGAGCGTAGTGACCAAGAGGAAAAACCTCAGGCGAGTAGTTGCCTATTTATATCCCATGAAAGATGGATTCAGTGCATGAGACTATTCCAGCCCATGACACCTCCACCCCCTTTCTGTTCCTGTAGTCGCTGTCTTGAGGCTGTCTCAGCACTGAAGAACTAGCTGCTTTTTGAACACTATGTGGAACCTCAGTCAAGACAGGAGCGAGCAGCCAGGGATGGGGAGGTCTCTGCGTTACTGAATCCCCTAAAATCTGCTCCCTTGACAATGCACAGCAGCAAAGGAATCAGACGTGAGCCAGGAACATTGCTCTCTCCTCAGAGAGTCTGTCTTCTCACTTTCGAATGGCGCTCTGTTCTCACCCTGTCTGCTTTTAGGGCTAAGAAATGATCTGCATTACCTGTGGTTCTCAAATGTCTTTTTGGAGGCTTCCCCCTAACAGTGCCAGCCTTTGCCCTCTCCCAGGATGCGCTAATCCCACGACCTCCACAGCTGCACCCCCCACAGAAATCCAGTGGGTGAAAAGGGGTCTCCTGCAGCACAGGCAGCAGCTGCGGGTGCCCGGCTCTGAGGAGGGAGGGCAGCATCCAGCCCTGCCCATGGGCTCGGGGGGGGCGGTGCCCACAGCTCCCCTCCCCAAACACGTCCCCTGCCACCCTCGCCTCTGCCAGTCGGCGTTGGAGCAGCCCGGCCGAGCCCTGCGGTAATAGATCGTGGCAGGGCTGGTATTTCACGCTGGCACTGCTGTAGTTCCCAACGACGAGGGACTTGCCTGCTCCTAACTCTAATCCAACGAACCCCTGCCTACAGGGAACGGGACCAAGAATAAAGGCAACGGCCCACGAACTGATCAGCCACAGACTGACCAGAGGCGACTTCACATGCCCTTGGCTGGGGAACCCACCTCCCCCGGGGTCGTGCTCAGCCCTCTGCCCTTGAACATCTCCAAGATCCCCATTTTTCACCTTTCCTTCACATATGATGGCTACAAAGTGTTTGTTACCTTTAATCCTGGACGATGAATTTCTCATCAGTGACACCTGTCCCCGTGCAGCATGCATGCTCTGCGGCTCCAGCTCACCCACGATTGCGTGTCACAAAGCAGCGCGGCCAGAAAGGGAAGAGACTCTGCAAAAGCACGAAAAATTTCTCTTCCACTGAGAGAAGCAGATCTTTTTTCCCAATTCTATCTCCTACCCTACTGAACCTTTTAATATTGCCTTTAAAGGTGATGCAGAGGGTAGAAAAACCTGTTGTAACCTGTTCATTAGATGGAGAGGGGCTGATGGCAAGCAGTTAATATCTCAGCCTTACAGGGATGCGAAACCTCCCCCTGTGCAGCAGAACAAAGGAGAACTTTCCGAAGGAAACCCAGAAGCAGTGTTCGCCGGGGATGTTGCAAGGGGTAAGATAAGCCAGGTAAGAAAGCCTTTTAGTGTTTGTGGCTGAAGAGGGAATGAGGTAGGTGTGGGGTGAACTTGTACTGTGAGCCACTTTTACGATCCCCATTGCTTGGAACACACAGCTGTGATTTGTATTGATGTCTCTGGTGGTAAATCCTCCAGGCTGACTGAAGTGCCAGCGCTGAGGATTTGACTCAGCCACAATTACACGGATTTGATATCTCAAGCACCACTGTGTCTCCAAGTGCCTTAGAAAGACCACAGCAAAAAAAAAATACCTTTAAGAGGTACTCTGTGTGTGCACGTATGCGTGCGTGTGGATGCTGTTTGCTGCTGCTGCCCTGAGACAGGCGACATTTCAAAGACAAGCAGTCTTAGAGAAGTGACTTAGATTTTCTCATTGACCACCAAGTCTCAGCATCACCCTTTGAAACATAAACTTTATTGCAACAAAGAATTAAAAATAGTACATCTGAAAGAGCTGCAGAGTGCATGTCATTAAAGAACTAGTCAGAAATCACAACTCAAGCAAATCGTGTACAATTGGAACAGAAAGTTTTATTAAAACAAGTGGAAATCAAACTCAAATCTTCCTTGTTTGTTTAATTTCACCGTAACCATGGATCATGTATTTACAGTCTTCGCCTCTTATGGTGAAGGTTCTGCTCAGGGTGGGGGGCTAGGAAGAAGGCAGGGATGGATGGGGAGAAGAGGTGGGTTTCAAAAGCTAACAGGATGTGAAAGTTTTCCAGAAGAAGTTCTTGCAGCCCGCTTTGCGTTCCCGGGGTGCCAGAGCGGGGTTTGAGTTAGCCGAGCGCTCCAGCTCCAGTCTCACTTCGTCCTGCTCAGCCCCTCGGGACAAGTCCTCAGACTCCAGGGCTTCATTTTCTGTCTGGCTTGGCTCTGAGAGCAGTTCTGCCAAAAAGTACTTGGCCAGTTCCTTGGGGAAGAAAAGAGAGAAAGAGAGAGAGGGAGACCACAGTTACTCCTTGGATTTTGGGGGCTCACCGCTTTGTCTCTCTAGGACACCTTTGTGCCCAGATTAGAGAGACGCAGAACTCTGGAGAAGAAGGGGAGCCCCGTTTTCCAAGGTGCCCAGCCTGACAGCTGCTACGCAGCAGCTGCGCCTACGAAATAAAGTGGAGCAGAAGAGTGGAGGGGACTACCTGGTGTGGGGAAGAGACCACTGTCCTGGCCATGGCAGGGAATGAACTCATCTGAACACCACATCACCTTCCCTTCCCTTCCCGCTGCTCCAGCACACTGTGCTGGACTCAGCGAGGATGCTGCGAGGCTGCTGCTGAAGCGACGCGGGAAAGGTCTTTGGGGGAGCTCGCAGGGGAGCCTGGCTCGGGTCACCCTCTCACTGGGGGTTGCTTTCCCTCTTGTCCCTCCAAGCCCTGCTTATTCCCCTGCATGGATGAGGACACCTTCGTTCTGCGCAGGGGCGGCTCCCTTGGTTCAGCGCCCTGGAGAAGCCCTGGAGAGCTTCACAGGGGGCTCTGCCCTCTGCCCCTGTAGCGGCTGCTCCTCACCCCCCACCAGCACCCAACTGGGCTGGGCTGGGGGCCGTCTCCCCTCGGCATCTCCAGCTCAGCCCCGGCAGGGAACCAGGGGGTCTGTCAGGGAACCGGGGTGTGCAGCAAGCAACTGGGGGGCTGAAATGGGGACATTGGGGAGGTCCGGTGAGGAACTGGAGGTATGCACTGAGGGCATTGGGGTGTCCAGTGGGGAACTGGAGATGCCTGCAGCAGGGTCTGAAGCTGAGGGTCTGCAACAGGGGTGTCGGGGGCTCTGTCAGGGAAATGGAGAGTCCTCAGTGGGGAGTTTCAGGGGTGGTCTGGAGGAGCTGCTGGGCTCCGCAGCGGAGCAGCGGAGGTCCGCAGCCCCAGAGGGGCTGCCCGAGGGGTGCCCGTCGCGGCC